CTGGTATGTGTGTGTTCTCAGCTTTCTAATTAATGTTTTTATGTCTAAATCCCGCCTGGCTTTCATTCTGGTGTACACTGTCATGTGTGCTTATAACAATTTTTATGACGGTGCTGCTAAGATTTTTTATTTTATTTTTATTTTTTACTAATTCTTTCCCTTTGGATTTTAAACGCCACTTACATCACTCACAACACAAACCGCACACACACAGTCCATGGGCTTCCAGACTCTTCCTTTGGCTTCAGAGCCACCGATTTCTGCACCAGTAACATTGTTACTGTACCTGCTGGAAGACCCCTCGGTGCTGGTTTCACTGCCACTGTAACAAGTTACCACGCAGGGAGCAGCTTCAATAATAGAAACTTAGCTCACAGGTCAGAAGTCTCCCTGGGTACAGAGGCTGTTTCCTTATGGGTCTGGCGGGGGAATCTATACCCTCCTTTTGCAGATTCTGGAGCCTGACCCCCCTTTTCTTGGCTCCTGCCCCCCTCCTCCACCTTCAAAGCCCACAGCCGGGCCGAGTCCTCACACTGGGTCACTCTGAGCTCCTTTTCTGCCGCCTCCTTCCATTTTTAAGGGCCCTGGTGGTTATGCGGGGCCCACCCGGGTAACCTGGCCTTACCTCAGGGTCATATGACTGGCAACCCTAATTCCACCCGTGCCCCAAATTCTCCGTTACCATGTAAATTAACATAGTCACAGGCCCCGGGAACTATGTGGACTTCTTGGGGGCGGGCATCATTCTATCCACCACACTCAGCATTCCTCCTTTTCAAAATATTTCAAGTTTTTCTACATAAATTTTAGAACGCGCCTGTCCAGGTCCCACTGCACTTGGCTGTCCTCGGCACCTCCCTCCTCAGAAACACCTAGTTGGATTTTTTTGAATATGTATTAGCATCATAGCACGTGGTTGAGTATTTTATATGTCCTAACAATCAATGGTAAAAACCAAATTTCCACTTGTCATGCCAGAGGAATTACTTTTCTTTCTATAGAAAGAAAGTATGGCCCTGGCTGGTTTTGCTCAGTGGTTAGAGCCTCGGCCCCGGGGGCTGAAGGGTCCCGGCTTCGATTCTGGCCGAGGGCAAGCACCTCGGCTGCAGGCTCGATCCCCGGCCCAGGTTGGATGTGTCTCACGTCGATGGTTCTCTCTCCCTTCCACACTTCCCCTCTCTCTGGAAAGCAACCGAAAAAATACCTTCAGGTGAAGATTAAAGAAAATATTAAATGGTTTCATCATCACAAGGAAGGTACACTCTACTACAGATACACAATAGTTGTTTTTCTGGATATGTCAGCTTTTAAAGTCTTATTTTTTGAGATTTTTCCCCCCTCATTCTATATAAATATCCATGTTCAGACCTAATTTTGTATTTGTAAACTTGTGTTTTTTCTTAAAGGGCTCCTCGCCCATCAGCCAAGTCCCAGGCCCCACAGGACCACTGGCGTCCACCCCATGGGTAGACACAACCAAACCCACCCGGTCACCCTGGCCTGGGACTTGGGAAGCTCTGCCCCTCCCTCTTCCTCCGTCACGGCCTCTCTGCGTCTTTCCTTCCCTACCCATTTTGAACTGCCTGTGTCACGAGTAAACCCCACTCCCCGCCCCAGACCAAGGCCATGACCTCAGGGCCTTCATCCGCTCTCCCCTTACCTCTGGCACCCAGCACTGTGAGGGTGGGGTGCTTGCGGAGTCAGCACCTCTGTGAAACCTGGAAGCAGTATGGGGAGTCCAGCTGGCCTCCACCTGACTGCTCCCCCGCACAGGTGGCCGCCGTCAGCAGTTTCTGGACATTTGCGTAGGGACACGTGGACTGAGTTTTCACAGGAATGGGGGAACTGCACTATCGCCCAACAGCTTGGTTTTCTGGCCGATGTCTTGGAGCTGAGACGTGTGGACCTACCTGCCCGTCTCGTGTGTCAGCCTCATGGACTTGGGTAACCGTGCTTGCTGCCACTGGGCTCAGTTAGGTAGCCTTGCCCATCCAAAGGCTCCCTGCCCACCTGCGGTCAGTGCTGCCGAACTGTCCTCCAAGGCTCTCCACGAGGAATCCACTTCCTGCTGTCCCCACACGGTCACTGTCCCAGTCCAGGCACCACTGTCTCCAGCTGGGAGTCTAGGACCAGCCTCCAAACTGCTCCCCATCTATTCTCCACGCAGCCCAGACCCTTTTTTAAAAATCAAATTTGATCATGTCTCTTCCCGCCTTAAAACCTTTTAGTAGCTTCCCAGGACCTTTGGGATCAAGTCGTCACTTTCATGTCCCGTAAGACCCCGCTGTCCCTGGTTCTTGCCGGTTTCCTTTCCCAGCTCAGCCCCATCATCTTCGTCTCCTTCCCTAGTCCCACGTACTTTCTCTACCATCTTCAGACTGCGCCGTGGGGATCCCTGAAACCAAGTAATGGTGTGGCCATGAGGGGTTTTAAAGGAACCAATCTTCAGACGCTTCACTTTCCTAAAACTACTGATCTGCCGGCGAGACTCCTGGAGTCCACCCACCCTGCATTTGGCAACGGCTCCGGCCCACTGGGCCCCCCCAGATCCTACTCAGGGCACTGCACTGAGGGGAAGGGGTCAATCTGGAGGACACCAAAAGGTAATCGGACAACTTCTTTTAATTAAGGCACATTAAGACGGGCATTTCAAGGACTTGACTTTACAGTAATTACATATCAGACTTTGCCATATATGTTGATCAAGTTATATTGCTGACAATAGTAATAAGCTCAATCCAGAGGAAATTTCAACTCTTAGAACCTTTTTGAATAAAAGACCTAGAAGCAGAAAAGCTACTCCGTGACTATAAATGCTCTGGAGTGAAAACGTCTTCAAGAAGAAGAAGGGCCAATGTAAAATTCTAGCTGCTAACAATCTGGAGTATTTCCTAATGGATGGTTGTGGGTAATAAATCTCTAAGGTATTTAGAACCCAAGGGACCCATTTAAAAGATTTCTGTCACCACCTTATTTTAAAATCTCATAACTCATCTGAACTTTTTAATTTTTTAAAAAAATATATCTTTATTGATTTCAGAGAGAGGAGGGAGAGGGAGGGAGAAAAGTCACTGATGAGAGTCAGGGGCGCCTCCCGCACGCCCCCCACTGGGGGCCTGAGCCCCGATGGGCATCGAACCCGATCGCCTGGGTCCCGGGTCGACGCTCAGCCGCTGAGCCCCGCCGGCCGGGCTGAACTTTTTAATTTCGGACACTAACTTACAAACGAGCGCGCGGCGTACACGGCGTCCTGGGGGCATCCAAGCTACGAGATGAAGCTGTGCCGCCCGCCCCCAGGCTCTGTCC